TGAGATCCAGTGAGGGAACCATGAAGACTCTGTCTGCTGTTCTGTTCCTGGTGCTGCTCTGCTCTGTGCAGCTCGTCTACAGCAGCAGTAAGTGTTTCAGAACCTCAAAACAAGCCTGTTTGTATCTTTTTATGCTTTAAGAGACCATGACCATGTTTGTATATTGTACTTATGAACTAAGTTTTGTGTCATATACTGTGTCTGTTTTAATAAATGTGTGACATATTTCTGATATAATGTATCTGCTGTACCATGTAGACACTCTGGCAGAGGTTATGTGATATAATGTTTAACAACAATTAAAGTGAATGTCTGTTTTCCATAGATGCACCAGGTCTTGCTGTTGACTGTTGTGTGGATTATTACAACAAAAGGATCCCACTGAGTCAGATTGTCTCCTTCTACGTGACCAGCAGCAGCTGTCGTATTAGAGCATTAATGTGAGTATTTATCTCTCATTAATATCATCTGCTGTTATCAGGAACACAATCACCGGCACCTGGATTATTAATCTAAGGCATGTAAACAGCTGCCCCCTAAAAGCAATTGTGTGAGTATTAGTTTCTCATTGATATAATCTGGTTTTATCAGGAACATGGTCACCAGCACCTAGATTATTAATCCTAAGGCATGTAAACCAACCATAATTTATTTCCTCATTTGACAGATCACGAACTCCAGTTAAATACAGTGAGACTTTATCATGCTGATTCTTTACTGATTGTATTTACTGATGCTGAAACACTTCATAAAAGACCAGATTTATTGCTGGTATGGCTCACATTCACATGCATTGTGTTACAATTAGTGTGAGTATTTATTTCTCCTTGGTATCACATCTAATCAGGAATATGTACATTGCTTATTTCCTTAAGATGATGTAATTACACTTTCAGACTCTTTGCAGGTTTGTTATCAAGAGAAACCGGTCTTTCTGTGTAAATCCAGAGGAGGCCTGGGTCAGTAACCATGTCAGTAAGATGGACAACAGGAAGACCACTGAGGAACAACAACATCCACAAAAACAGCCAAGACCATCAATCACAGCACCAACCTTTGCAGAATCACCGCCAGCGGCTCCGATCTCACCCTCTCCTACGCCAGTAACCGATGTTGGCGTGCTAAAGTTGGACATACTAGACTCGGTGAGAAAAGAGATTGCGGATATTATTAAACTCGAGCTTCAAAAGGCCCTCACGGAGACTCTCTCAGTTATCATCTCTGAGTTACAGACTTTGAGATCTAAGTGGGCTTCGGACAAGGCAGCTGCCAATGCGAATTTTGCGTCTTTAAACTAAACTGGGCGTGATATGGAACATTCTCTAACAAGCTGCTCCGACGACGTTGCCACTATGAAGACTACTATACAGTCTCTCACTGCTACTGTGGCTTAAGTTGGAGAATAAATGTGAGGACCTTGAGGCCAGGATTGAGGCGTAACAACATTAGGATTCTCGGAGTGCCCGAAGGCCCTAACACAGCTACCAGAGCCGCAATTGCAGCCCTGCTGAAGGAGCCACTGAAGGTGTCCACTGATAG